TCATGCAAATTCTTCTGCTAGTTGGGGTTTAGTCCAAATCTGCATCCTTTCCTTCAAGGCTCAGGGGTCTAAGATTATCTTCTGTGTCTGTATTTATTGGTTTCCCTTTTCTTTGTTGAAGAGGGTCTGTGCAATCCTTCTGCCTAGTCCGCCATCTTGCCCCGCCTTTAAATTGCTGTTTTGTAGACACAAAACTTCATGTACAGTAATTTCCATTGAATGTTATTTTAATGGAAACCTTTAGCGCTCTCCCTTAATCTAAACTCTGCTTTTTTATTTCTTTTCTTAATTCTTAAATAAAGACTTTTCTTCTTGCTCATTTCAGTATTCTTTAATCCAGAAAATGTCATCATGGAGTTGGCAAGAATCATTAATAGGATTGCTCCATCTTTGATCCCCTTGACTCTCCCCCTCTTTTATTCTGACCCACCCCCACTTTGAGAGCTGCATTCCCTGGTTGTTATACTTAGCATATTAAAATCCTCCATGCCCACATGACAGTTTTAATATTTGGTTACACGAACCTACTTTCTATAAATTTGGGCTGAATAAATGATAAACTTTCTATTGATACACTGAAATACTACTAAACATTCCAAATTAAATAATTTTCTCATTGTATCTGGTAAATGTGAGCAACATAAGATAAGTGTTAATATTAAAATAGACTAAAAATAATTACTGAAGAATGGAATTATGTGTAACAGAGTTCTGAGACCTAGCCCAAGGATGCGTAATGTAAGGAATTCATTATAAATCAACATGACGTGAATCAGAATCAACTTGGTGGCAACAACAACATGACTTAGCGGGTCCTATAGTGTAGACCCTATAAGACCCCAGAGCTAATTTACCACAACTGCAAGTCTGGACAAAAATGTAGTCTGATTTTGTTGGCCCTCTGTTAACTTACTATCCATTTAGAGCCAATGATAGCTTTACATCAGTTGTCAAATATCAGTTCCAATTCAAAGGAATATGCCCTCTTATTTTTGGCTAGGGTGTAATGCATCATCAAGAGATCATGATTTTGCCCTTTTGATTTGCAGGTTTACCTCCTTATATTAAGTGTGACTACTCTTAGTCTTTTACTTGCTCCAGTATTGTGGAAAGCTGCAATTATGAAATGTGTACCAAGACCAGAAAGACGATCAAGTATCTGACAGCAGATTCAATAGCACCAAAATAATAAACAACTTTGAAAACAAGAAGGAAAATAAAGCAAGCCTCTACATAAAAAAGAAGAAATCCAGACAGTTGTGTAAATTATACATTCCTATAGCCTTATACATTGGGAAGAAAATAACACTATAGTAAAGGGTTGATGTCTTCATATTTGCCCAACTTTTACATAATATCCTTTATCATATTCTAGAATATTCCAGAGTGATTTATGTGGAGTCAGTTGATTATGCACAGTAGAAATGTAACATTGCATTTTTTAAATCGCCTTGACTACTTTGCCTGGATGTGCCTTTTTTTCTGAAATTAATGTTAACTTTTTATGGTTTATTCTTATTTCATGATTTTTGGTAAGAAAGGAAAAATAGAAAGCTTTTTAATTTATTGTACAACTTTAGAGTTGTAATGTTTGTCAAATATTTGTTATTAAGCATTTCTGTGATGTGAAAATTTAATTCTGGCAATGAGTTTGGAAGCTTACTTTTAATCCTTAAAGCCTATGTTTTCTAAAATGAGATGAGTATCTTATAGATGTCTATTTGCTTTTTATTATAACAATTTTAAATAAACAGTTTCATGTTGATTTTTATTAAGTATATCATTCTTTTTCAATACTTAGCTTTAGATGACAAGAATATGCATTCTTTTAATAAAGACAAGTTATAATCAGGGTATAATTGAAATTTATTGAAAATCTGGGTTGTTTTAAATCAAGTTTTTGTCTTGTGCTAATCTTTGCATGAAATATCAACCAATTATTTTTATTAAAATAATCTTTATACTAACCATATTATTCTCCAAGAAACCAAATTAATGTATTGTTTTTGAAAAAAACCTAAGTTCTAACTTTAATGTTTAAAAACTGTATTGTGGCTACTGTGTGCCCCATTTTAGAAGTCCATGCAGAGGAAAGTCTGAAGTAGAGGAAGAAAAATGTTAGATGTAATTATTAATTGCAGATTAATCAGTAATATAAATTAAAACACTTTGAAGTAAGATGGAGTAAATTTTATAGTCTGGAATAAATCAGTGGAGAAATAATTTTATAAATGTGTTTATCTTCAGGGGAAAAAAGGGATTAATTTTATTCATTTCTAAATTACACCAAATTGTCTGGCACCATTTTTCCCTCCATATTGTTCAGGTGCAGTAAATATTGCGGAATGTAAGTAAGGTGGTCTGGGCTTGACCTGTTTATCTGAAATTGACTTGTCATTTTTGATCCTGAATGTCCTTCTATCACAACATCTTTCACACTTTATCTTATCTGTTAGCATGCCTCTTTCCCCATCTAGGCAAACTGGGTTATACTGAAGGCTAGTGGGTTATCTTGAAGTCCAATGAGATATGTTTTCTTTCTTTTTGTATCTCCAACATCTACATCAGAGCCAGAAGCTTATTCAGTTTCACTGAACTAAATGAAACATAACTGATGAGGGTGATAACAAGTTTTCCCCAAAACTCAAAAGTTAATATTTTTCTGAGAATGGCTTTGAATTACAAGAATATGCATTCTTTAGTAAAGATCATTTATGATCAGAATACAAGTCATTAAAATTTACTAAGAATTGTTTTTTATCTTGAGTTAACCTTTGCCCAAAATATCAGCCTTTAATTAAATTTAATTAATAAAATTATTGGTAAAATATATACTTAATAAATTATAACTAATAAAAATGTATACTTAATGACAAGAGGAAATATCTTTAGAGGACCTCTGCCTAACTGAAAATTGAAATACCTGGGTGGTAAGATGGTCTGCACTTCACCCCTAATAAAAAAGTTGACAGTTCAAACCTGTCTAGTAGTAACATGGAAGATCCAGCTCTGGCAATCAGCTTCCATAAAGATTACAGTCAACTGACTCCATTGCTAACAGAGTCTCTCCAAATGAACACATAAACAAATGCCTCATCAAATATCTAGTTAATCTTTTACACCCACTCCTCACTTACTGACGTGGTAAGGTTCCAAAGACCAGGTTGTTATGTGAAAATGGGCATTATGCAAAATGGAGGATGGCTACATTATCACATAACTGCCAAACCACTGAGAATCACAGGCCCAACCAAGTTGACACATAACCTTAACCATCACAGCCAGTGTGACTCTTGCTTCACACCTCAGTGTTTCTTACTGCCAGATGTACATTGTTAATGTGCAAGTAGTCAGAGAGTAGATTTTTTACTATTGTCATAAATGTGAAATATCATAACAAGGTAGTCGTTAAGTGAGGAGTAGGTAAGTATTAAAAGAATTACATGACCTTTAAACTAAAAATGATAGTCTCTGCACTCCTCTACCTGAGGGCCCATCATTCCCACCTCCAGCCTTCACAACTCTGCTTTATTAACCATTCATTCACCCTCACGTGCTCTATTAGTGTCTTCCTCTATCTATAAACTTGCTCTAGTCTGTTCCATACCAAACTAACAAATAAAAAAACCCTTTCTTGACCTAATGTTCTCTTTTTCTTCTCACTTAGACTTTCAGAAAGGAGTAGACTAATTTCATCTCCATTCCATCACCTCCCGCTTATTTCTGAACCCGCTGCAACTCCAGACCCAGCTACTTCCTCGTCCCTCTACCTTCTAGATAAAAACCATATTTAAATGGCCCATACCAATATGAAACTGGCCTGTTACCATTTTTCCATGCCAAGCCTGCTGTTCATTCAGCCTTTATTTCTGTACAAGTAATATGTGACTAGAAAATACAGGAGGAGGAAGACAAACAGATTTGGAAGAGGCAGTGAAATGGTGGTAAGTTCTGTTTTAAACATGCTAAGTTTGAAGTTGGCATATTGTGCCATAGAGTCTCATCTCTTTCCCCAGTCCACCCTGCTGCTTCATGATTTTCTTTTAATGTATTTCGGTTATTTTTAGTTGAGCATCCCCTGTAAAGTTCTACATTATCTGTACATAGCCGTGTCCTCCCTGTCCCCCAATTAAAATGATAAGCCTCTGGAGGCAGTGTACTTTCCCTGTCTTTCTGTCCAGATCCCAGCACAATGTCTGGTATATATGAGATGTTTAATAAAAACATTGAATGAATAACTATAAATGTTTCACTAAGAACTCTCAGTAACTCATTTTAAATTGTGATAAAAAGGGTACTTCAGAATTTGTGTGTAAGTGCAATGTCTTTAAAGAGCTCTTATGAGTCAAAAGAGAACCTACAGACTGGAAAAAAATATTTGGTAATGACATATCTGACAAGGGACTTACCTCTAGAATTTATAGAAAACTCCAACACCTCAAAAACAAAAAGACAAACAATCCAATTAAAATATGGGTAGAAGACATGAATAGACACTTCACCAAGGAGGATATTCAAGCAGCCAACAAACATAAGAAGAAATGCTCATGATCATTAGCTATTAGAGAGATGCAAATCAAAACAACAATGAGGTACCATCTTGCTCCTGCACTAGTAGCAAAGTTCAACAAGACAGAAAATAACAAATGCTGGTGAGGATGTGGAGAGATTGGGACTCTCATACACTGCTGGTGGGACTGTAAAATGGTACAACCATTGTGGAAAGCAGTATGGCGATTCCTTCAAAAGTTGGAACTAGAAATACCATTTGACCCAGCCATTCCATTACTAGGTGTATATCCTAAAGAAGTGAGAGCCATGACAAGAACTGACATTTGCACACCCATGTTCATCGCAGCACTATTTACAATAGTATTTATCTGACTATAAATTCTAGAGATAAGTCGCTTGTCAGATAAGTCATTACCAATAGCAGTCTCACTAAGCAAACTTCTGATTATAATTTGAGCATCCAGATACATTTGCTATAGGAAAAAAACATGATATCGACTAGCCTGATAGTTAAATTTTAATCTTAAATTTAAAAACAGGTGTTTTGGTTTATGAGTCAATTCCTAAGAAATCAACATTGAAACCATACTTAGAGAATTGAGTTTCTATGCCTAGAAATTTGGAAAACTCATCTTAAATGTTGATAATTTGAAACATGGTGTGTTGGCCACCTCAAAATAAATAAATAAACACAAGCAAACCATTATTGAATGCTTGTTTTATTTTAATATCCCATTAAACACTTTACTGGATTATCAAGTCTCATATCTCAAGCTCTCTAGCCTTAAACTCCCGTAAGTTTTCCAGCTTGATTTCTTGGTAATGTTCTAACATAAAGCAGCCATAATTAGGCCAGTCTTCTCACTTTTTTTTAACAGGTCATTTTTCTTAACATTTGTTTTCATTCTTTTTTGTTATATGGCCTTTTACATCTGCTACCCAAACAAATCTGTCTTGGAAGAAGTACAGCCAGAATGCTCCTTAGAAGTGAGAATGGCAGATTTCATCTCTCGTACTTTGGTTATGTCGTCAGAAGGGGCCAAGGCCGCCTCATTCCTCTATTCTGAGCAAAGCTCAGTTCATGACCCCTGTCTTTGATTTATTCTTCAGCTATTTGCAGCAACTTATTCTTTAAGTACTGTAATGCTTATTCTGTAGCATTTTAGCACCTATTTATATAATGTTCTTAATTTTAGGTGTCTATAAGTACAATCTCCTAAACTAGATTTTAGACTTCTGATAGGCAAGGACCATCCATATCTTTTAATTTTTATCAAATTTTGTTCAGCAGTGCTCACATGGTTACTGCCTCTAGGAACCAATAAATAGTGTAGGGAATAGATATAAGTTAAAAATGTATAACTAATACATAAAAGTATAAACAAGACAATTTGTGATATTTAGGGAAACAAAGTATGACAAGTTTTATTTGGGACGTGTGATCTGGGAAGGCTTCTTGTAAGAAGTGAAATAACTGGATTTGAAAGGTAGCTAAGATTTCAGTGTGAAACAGGCAGGGAGGGTATTCCAGAAAAAGTGACTATCTTGGATAAAAACATAAATGTAGGAGAAGGACAGGCTGTACTACGTTCAGGCAGTGGCAAGTAAAGTGGTAGAATGGGTATAGGATGTTTCCTAAAAGGGGGGAAAA